TTTTTTTCAATATTAAGGGGGGGGGGGAAAGAACCATACATAAATCAATACTACTGTTGATGAAAAATACACGAACAAAGTCAACTACTGACAGGGAGCATTAAAAATGGGAGGAGCATACATTAGGAGAGCATAAACAATGACAAACTGCCTCAATAGTGAAGGTTAGGTATCTTTCACATCTAGTGTTAATAAAACACACAAAAAGAAGAAAAAAATGAAAATGCGATAAGGTGAACAAAAGTGTAACCTTCAAAACTGTTTAATCCTAACTTCCGTACACACTTGAACTCAAGAATTGAGCACAAAGAGAACCTGCCATACAGGTCATAATGGCCTGACAGACTGAGAAGACTTCACTCTGTACTGAATACTGAAAAGACTTTTTTTCGCAGAGCTCTTCTCTTATAAAAAGAAGAAACTCTTGATGAGACATGGCAGACAACTGACAACAATGACAATGAAAACATGCAAGCATGACTGAACTTAACATCAGATCTTGGTGGCATAACTCAGCATTTAAAATCAATATTACGATTCTTCTTAACTTCAAATATTTCCTCATATCACACAATATAAAGTGTTCTGTAACCTATACTACCTTTCAATATGAGAAACTAAAAATCTTTCATCAAAGAACCATGAAAAAATATTCTTAAAATTACAAGGACATTATTCCCAGGGGCAAGAACAATGAATGTCCAAAAAATCATAAACACAATTAAAATAGATTTAAAGTATGAGAGATGTTCAAATAAAACCTCTTTGCATTATCAGCCTCCTCAATTAATGCTTAAAAAAGTCTGCAGATTTGGGCTGGGCAAAGATGTCATGTCCCATGGTGCAGTGGTTCCAGCAGCAGCTCATAAAGTTCTATGAGGAGGGGATCCATTAAATGGAGTGTCAATGAAATGTCTGCTTTGGTGCTCATGGCAACTATTTTTAACAACCACTACTCCGTCAAATGTACAAGAGTTATAATTTCTCACAATATTTCGTTTTGGAAATTTAAGAAATTTCGTGAATGTGCCACAGATGCAATAAATTGAAATACGTCACAACAAACTTGCATCCTTCCATTGTAATAGCCATACAGGCTGCAGGACTTCTCTCATCAATGAGGCACATCATCACTCACATGTCCTTGTCACTATATTCATGGCAGGTCTGGTATAATGATAAACTGTGGTTGCATTTTATGCAAATCTGAAATAGTGTGATATAATAATATTCATAAAGTCTCACTTTATGCACAAAGTTTGAAATAATGTGAATCCCCAAAAAATTCAACAAGAATCACTTTCAATTATGCAAGGCCTTCAGAAACGCATCCTAACATAAAATGCGGCTACACCGTACTACATGAGCTTACATGCTTAGCTCTGAGATTCCCACTGCTGCCATAACCAGGGTACACCCAATGCTGTGGTTGTGTTCTGAGAACTGCAAGCACGTGCCTCATATTTGCCAAACCAAAGGCTGTTGTCAGGATACCATAGCAGAGTCTGTATGTTGCATTTTTCCATCTTATATTAACGACATTCACAAACCAGTGAACAGTTTTATACAACAGGTATTTGTCTCTGAGCATTTCTTCAACATGTTAAAATACTCACACAGCAGTTTCTCTAGAACATAAAACTTGATCACTGTTCACATTTCCACTTGTTTCTAAGTCATTTACACTCTGTCTCACTGCATAGTTCAGCACTGTGAGAGTACATGCAACCACAGTTAATATCAACCCAACACCTAAGGGAAGTTCTCTCAAACGATTATATGCTGGCACCATCAAACAGGAACTTAGTAAATGCCTCTTACATAAACACAACTGTAAAAATATGGACCCATGGATTTCATTTAATTGTTTCATAGGTAAAGCTAATCATGACACTGACGATTCTGTACAAATTGAACTGTGTGCATGCAGAATGGAACTGGACAGAAATTCACTTACCCGACTAACAGACTGATCATTGAAGCAGAACCAATCACCCTTCTTAAAGTCCTTAATGTAGGCATAATAATGTCCGCCTGATGCACTTCCAGAGTGAACCATGATGGAAAATAATTCGTATATGTAGGGACCCTTCTCCATTGCGTGTCTTTGATTCTTTTCATTTTCATGATGATTTGGTGTATTATTCATATCTATGCCCTCATCATCTTCCTATTTAACAAAGTGGTGATGCATTAACAAGTCTGGAAACCCAAATTCTTTAATTTTGTCACGTAAGAGTTACTTATATAAATCTTAACAGAAAATTCCATGCCTGAAGTATATATATAAAAAACGTAAATCTGACCCTGTAACAGGCTGTGAAGGCACACAGGGGTCTGAGAGGTTGAGGCTCCTGCATTTTCTAGACAATCGGCTCACAGATGGCAGTAAGGTTGTCAGCCTCATGTGCCGCCCCCNACTCATTTCTGTTAGAGGCTGAGTCGACCCCAAGGCAATAGCGTAGCTGGAAGGATTAGGTCAATTGAACAATCCAATGACCTCACTGGGATTTGATCCTGTGACCTTCTGGCTTGTGGCATAGTGCCTCAACCAACTACATTACTGAGCGGCCTCCGTAGTCTAGGGGTAACGTTCCCACCTCATGACTCAAGGTATGTGGGTTCAAACCTGGCGGAGGTCGTGGAATTTTTAAGGGCGGAAAAATTCAGGGAACAAGTCCTTCGGGAGGGACTTTGAGCCGTGGGTCCCGTGTCGTAGATTTACGGCACGCAAAAGATTCTCATGTCTCTAGGAGACCTCTGAGCTAAATTAGGCAACAAGTTTCCCGCCCAAGTAGTTTCCAATGCCTCTGGTAGAGGGGGGAAATATCAGGTACTGAGGGCCAACCTCGTTGGATGAATGGGGCTGATAGGACGCACCAGTACCGGTAGGGTATGGCGACAGTAGAAATTAAAGGGGGATGCACAATGGACCAATAACTGGTCTAAGTGCATGGGGAAACCCACCTTCTCTAATAATAATAATAATAATAATAATAATAAATAACCACATTACTGTGTGCCCCCAAAATAATTATTATTATTGTTCATACTTTTACAGGGCACTCCAAATTCAGATTGAAATGTTTTACAGAAGCTGGGAGTTGGGACAGCTCAGGAAGTATAGCAACTGACCATGAGCTGGTTGGCTGAGATCGAATCCTGGCAGGGGTAACATCTTTCTCTTCCCCACAACATCCAGACCAGCTCTGGGGCCCACCCAGCCTCATATTCTATGCATATCAGTGACAATTCCCTTGGAGTAAAGTAGCCAAGGCATGAAGCCAACTACTCACCTCCATCTAGTGCCAAGGTCAGGGATGATGGAACTATAAATCAGCTCCCTCATATCTCTTCATGGCACAGTGCTTAATTAAGTAAACACAGGAACTTCATTTTTTTAATGTTCTAGAGAAAAAGACAGTGTGCACGCATTTGTGCATGCATACACATATACAAAGACAAGCTCTCTCTTTCTCTCGAAATCAGAAATACTAATCTAACTATGAATGAAGCTTATTTCATTGCCTGTGTGTTGCCCGTTTGTCTCACAAATTGTTGCTGCCAAGAGTTTAGAACAAGGAAAAATCATTAATTTACCTGATAATCAGCATCCTGTGTACTGAGGACAGTCTCAGTCCCTTGACAACTTTCGTCATCCAACGCAGAACCACTGTCAGTTGTACTACTATCATCACACTTTACTACAGATTCTTCAGGAATACCATCACTGTCTTCCTTACTTCCAGGACATTCAATGACACTGTTCAAGTTGAGCGTTTCTAGGAAAACAACCCTGCAAGAGAGAGCACCCATTTCAGTAATACTGTCATGTATTAGTGGCCAGACACAGGGCTTGGATTGGTAATTGCATTTATTGAACACTTACAACTCGTAACTACAAATAACTCTCATGCTTTCACTAATCTACAGACTCTACATATCATTACTGCATTCACCAAGTCTTCTCTGTCTTCACCAGTCATTGCTTGGTAGCAGTGTCTAAAAGAATGCAACTCAAGACTGTGGGCTGGTAACTGTTCACTTCAACCTCTGAATTCTGACTCAGGACTTCTGACCCATCAGGTATGTCACTGCAGAGTGCATGCCTGATGTTACAGAGACTGCTTCTAGTCTCCAACAACAGGGGCTGATTTGACAAACTGTTTATATAGACAGTAAGCTATTGGTTGCCCCTGCATGAACCACATGGGGAAGAGGCCTGCCATCACAAGCCATATTGTTGCTTGCCCTTCCTTACAATGTTTTTAATAAAACAAGTGATAGAAATAAAAAACAATGTAACAAAAGAGCAACAAAGTACAAACAACACAGATTGCAATGACTGACATACTGGCTCTGCCCACTGTTCTCCCAATGGTATGCGCTAGGACAGGACACCAATAACAGACTCCATTCACCACTTCCCCATGTGGTCTGTACACTGGACCAGCTGACAGCTTACTATGAATAATTACAGCACACAAACATGTGCTCATCACCTCAACCTCCAATGATGGAGACAGACACAGTCTACAAAATGTCCGATACTAACCAACTAACACTGATGGACCTGATGGACCAGCAAGACTTCACTGTATACTGTCACAATGAAATTTTCAAATCACATATGAGATAATGTAACAATAAATTACTGACTTAGGGTCACTGAATTTCAACATGAAATGAAGTAAAACCTTAAGTCGAGGAATATTAAATACAGGTTGACTTGCATTTCCACAGCTGCACAATAATGTTTGAAATATACGGATCTATCCACCTACACATATCTCTATTTTAGGTTCTTTTCACAGATGCACATGTATCACATGAATATAAGCTTTTCACTTATACAAAGAGGACTGTGACAAAGCAGTCTTATATAGGATAACATTCCAACTGGAGTTCCAGATTTTTTCAGCATCAAATAGATTCCTTGTTGCCTCATCCTTGTTCCAACAGATTTCAAGTTTCTCTAAAAACAAAAAACAAACTCCATGACCTGCAGTCCACAAGCAACTATACTGACCGAGTGACTGCCGCTTGTCGGTAAAGTTAGTGCCAGCCTTTGCGGATAGAGGGTGTCACATGGTCAGTGCAATGGATCCCCATGGCCATATTTCATATTTATATTTCATTTATTCACCTTCCATAAATCCTGTAGAGAGTACATTCTCATGCAGATGTGGAGATCGTCCTTGTTACAGTCAAAACTAAGGATTACAGTTGTCATCCAATAGCATGCACATTTGCATAAAATACTGATAAACATGTACAATATAATAAATAAGTTAATTTTGGTAGTAAAAGTAATGCAAACGTTATACAATTTGTACAGTTTTATGCAAGTCTATTAATTAAAAATTCAATAGTTAAAACATAATGTTATTAATGAGTTTTGTATTTTTTTTTCCTGTGGCGCTACAGTCCCAATTTGGGCCTAGGCCTACCTCCATGAAACTCAACAAGTTTTGTATAACATACATTAATTATATTATACATTGAAATAAAGACTAGTATACAGTGATATAAAGATTGTGTATATCTAAAATAAGCATCTAAAAACCAGAACACAGACTCACAACCTTGTCTTCTTTTAATTGTGTGATGCCCCAAATTTGAGATTAGAAAGAGGATGGTATTACCCAAAAAAGCTAGAGACTTGCGAAAAGAGTTTCGCAGTTATTGCCGTAAATTGTAAACACCGGGACTGGCAAGTAGGTTAAGAATGTGAAGACTCAGCAAGTCTCTGTGTATTCACAAAGCAAGACACTTGCCTCATTCAGGCACTAGGGTAATCGTGATAGACTGCTTACACAGCAAGGAGACGCAAGGGGGTCCGCCCACAACCACCCATGAGAGCCAATGAGGAGGTTATTATGAGGATTGAGGACACTGAGGGGAAGTCACCCACCCTCTTTCGTCAAGGCTGAATCAGCGAAATAAAACCATAAATTAGGGAATTTCGGGGGACTTAGATCATGTTCAAACAGAATATTCAGTTGTCAGCCGGAGGCTCTCGGCGACATGTATTCCATAAGAGGGTGGACAACGGCTGTAATCTACATTTGTATTGCAAGTAAGTCTAGTTGCTCATATATGCCACGCTGTTAAAGGTTGTGTTAACACAAGTGTTATTGTGAGCTAATGAGGCAGTATCCAGTGAACCAAGTGAGAGTCAGGGTAGAACAGGGTAGGAATGAATGTACAGTAGCAGACGATGATAGGAGGCAGTTCAGGCACCTCCCCTTCACAACTAGGACGGTAGAATGAGTTTAGCGAGATATGTCATGTAAACAGATAAGAGCAGGCCTTTTTATTAAGGTATTTATGATTGTAAATAGACAAGTGTACATAGTGGAGAATGTACGCAGGGAGTTCTGATTCGCCCATTAGTAACCAGCCCGTCCTCAACCCAGCCCGAGCTCCCCTAGCCAAGACCGCCGACGGCAGCCGAGTGCAACATAGATGTTAGCGAAAGAGAATAACCGACGAAAGTAATTATAAGTTCTCACCCCCTCCCCCTGAGGTGTAACAAAGTGGTGGCAGCTGCGCGATACGAAAACACACCCCGTAGAGACTGGTAGAAAAGAAAGTTGGGAAAGAACAGGAATAAGCAAGGATAATATTAAAGTAGAACCATGGAAGCTAGAATAGCGCAATTAGAGGAGCAATTGAGAGGTCTAACAATAGGGGTTAAGACCAAAGATTTGTCGCTAGCCGCAAGTATAAAGGAATGGAGTGGCCAGGCTAACGCCAAACCGGTAACAGAATTCATATCNTCGAGCGTTAAGTCAGAAGACGGTGAGGAAAAGTGCGGACCCGACGGAACAGAGGATCTTGAGGGAAGAAGCGGAAACCCGACTACTCACCAGTTTCGTGTATGGCTTAAGAGGAGAAACAGGGCACGAATTGAGAATTCGTAACCCTGACTCCATAGAACAAGCGCTAGCCATGGCAACGGTGATATACAATGCCAACAAGATGGAGAACAGGCATAAAGAACATGCCGCTTTTGCTGTCCAAAGGGACGAGAGGTACGGCGAGGAAGCAAGGAAGAATGGACCACCTCGAAGAAGGGAAAGACAACCATGGAAAACGCCCGTACCACGTTTCCAAGAACGAGCGGGCAGGGATAGAGAACGGGTTCGAGCCCCGCTCATCTGCTACGGCTGTGGACAACCCGGCCATATAGCAAGATACTGCAAGGCGGAACGGAATCCCGCAACCAGGAGGGAGAAGAACTCCCCAAACTAGATTCGGCGGAAGAGAGCACCGCCAACCGCCGGGAAAAGACCGCATGGGTCCCAGTCACGATTACAAGCACCGACACTGCATTAACACTTGACGTGTTAGTGCAAGGAAAAGAATATGAATTTATCGTGGACACGGGAGCTGATGTATCCTTGATTCAGCCATATGTGGGAGATGAGCCCACAGAGGAACTCAGTGATGTGGTCAGGGGCATAACAGGCCAAGCGCTGGAAATAGAAGGAACCAGACGCTTAGAAATCGAAATAGGAAACCAAAGATGCACCCATGATTTTGTAGTAGCGTCCTTTCCGCTTCAAAAGGACGGAATCATAGGGCTAGATTTATTAATAGAATTGGAAGCGTACATTGACATGGCCACGGACGAGGTGACCCTGAGGGGCCAGGTATTTAAACAGAAGGACCGCCCGCCAGGAGGGACGGAGGCGAACCAACCGAAGGAAATGATCGGCCGGACGGAGCCGCGACCAGTGCGAGAAGCAAAGGGAGAAAGCGGATCGACCAAGAAAAAGACGGTCACAAAGTCGAGAGGACCGGCAGTAGAAGCAGTAAGGAGATTGGCAGGCCAACTGAGGCAAGCCCGCTGGAGAGCTCAGAGGAAGCGGGCCTACGTGAGAAGGGCCCACAACTCTCGCCATAACCAACGAGCATGGAGGACGGAGTACCGCAAGGGCCAACTAGTATGCCGAAGGAGGATAGGAAGGGGAAGGAAACCTAACCCCAAATGGACAGGTCCTTACCAGGTACTAAAGAGGATCTCCGACCTAGTGTATACAATACAGGTCGGGAAGAAAGAAGTAAACGTGCATGTGGAGCAATTAAAGCTCTGCCGAGCTTCGAGAGAAGAGCTCCGGGAACGACGGAAGCAGAATCGGCAAAGGAGACGAGAGTGGCGACCGCAACAAGTGAGGGAAGACAGCGAGTCAAGCTCCAGTGATTCCTCCTCAGAGGAGGGAGGAAGTGAACCGCTCCACTCGTCCAAGCCTTACGAGAGACGGGGAGTGAACGAGTACAACCGCCGACGCCGCGGTAGCGTGCCCACGGAAGATGGGACAGCAAGGAGAAACGAGGATTCAAGCGACTCAGAATCGGAGGACGGAGAAGACTGGCCGCTATACCGATACGCTCAGAACGAAAGCCACAGTAGAAATGAGCGAGAAAGCCGAGTCAGCAAAAATGCCGCAGCGGCAGAAGAGGCAAATACAAGGGCAAACGCACAGCGTGAAGGTCTAGACAGAAATGAGCAAGACAGCCTAGTCAGCGGAAATATCGCAGCTGTGGAAGAGACGGAGACAGAACAAACAGCAGAGCGAGACGAGAATAGTGCGGTAGGTAATGTCGACGCGTCAGCAAACCACCCACCAAGGGCAAGTGAGGCTACTGAAGGTCAACACGGTTATACATTACGCCCAAGGCCTCGGCGTAATTACAAGGAATAAAACCGGACGGAATCGGAACCTCGCGAAGAAACGAATAGTAAAGAGCTCATTCTAATTTCCAGGTAATGGAAGAACTGAACCAGTC